TAAATTAGAATTATGAAACAGGTTTTCTGTTTTCAAATTATGTTCCCTGCACTTTTCAGGCAATAATTACTTGGGTGTAGTTTTCCTTATAAAACACAGTTGCACTTACTGTATTGCCATTTTAATCACCTTCTGAAATAAATGCCTATTTTCCCCTCTGCCAGTTTCTTGCTGATGGCCTATTCACAAGATCATAGATTGGTTTGGATGAAGGGAGACTTTCAGCCCATCCAATGTCATCCTTCTAGGAACCCACCCAGTTAGCACCCGTCACAACATCAAGTTGTTTTTCAAACAAGTCCAGTGTTCTGACCTTAACCATATTTCCTGGTAACCTATTCCAGTCATTAATTACACTCTGAGTAAAGAAAAACTTCCTGGTATCTGTCTTGAAATTGCCTTTTATAGCTCTAAACCTGTGGCCTCTTGTTATGCTGGTGCATCCTAACGTAAAATTAAATATATATGTTTCTACCTCTTTGTCTATTACCAAGGTACTATCTGCTTGTTGAGGTGCAAATTGAAGATCCAATGACACTGTTTGAAAAGAGAGGGGAGCTTTTCCCCTATGTTCTGGTCAACAATTTGTTATATAAAATTGGTTATTCACATCATAGCTGTTCAATGTAGTGTATGAGCGAGATAGACTAGAGGGACCTTAATAGACAGAAGAAACAGTAATAGAGAGAGGCAGGAGTATATAGATAATTAGGAATAGGGAGTATAATGAACAAAGATGGAAATAGACAGCAGAACAAGAAGACACAGGTTTAGGAGTGCAAAGGGCAATTTCAGTACAGACACCAGAAAGAATTTCTTTACCCAGGGGGTAATTAACAACTAGAACAGGTTACCAGGAAGGGTAGTTGAGGCCAGATTAATAACGGGGATTGTAAAGATTGTAATTCAAAACAAATCTGGAAACATTATTTCAGTGAGCAAGTAGTAAATGCGCGGAACAGGTTCCCTAAGGAGACAGTAGAAGTAGAAAGTGTAAATTATTTCTAAAGCAAATTAGATAGAGTACTTTTAGGAAATAATATCTTGGGATACAATATATATCTGACTGCCAGGATATTGGAAAGTGAACTGGATGGACCTTGGACTTCTTTTGTCTAGCAATTCTTATGTAGGGTCTGATATAATACAGTGTACAATGTATTGCACATTGCCTGGAGACAAACAATGTTTTGTTTATTTCTGTTCATGTGTTTAAAGCTGCTGTTTCGTCCTTACTGTTTGATTCCACCGCATTCTCTAGAGCATTGATGCTGAAGTGATTCCTGTATAATTTTTATGCAGGAATGAACTATGAAAATAATTCCTTCAAAAGAAATAAAAATAATTTGGTCACTCAAACCACGATTGTTTGTGGGACACTGCTGTATGCAATTGGTTGCTGCGTTTCACCCACAAAATATACAGTCAATTCACTTTACGCTATATTCTGCAAAGCGTTTTGAGACGTCTCGAAGATGTGATAAGGCGCTATATCAAATATAAGGATTATTGCATTATTATTATTGTATATTGTGGAGTCAGTCAATCTGAAGGGGAAACTTTAGTGGAGGAGAAGTGAATAGCAAGGAGTAAGAGAAAATCTTAAAATATGTATGTTTCTCACAAGGGACTCTGATTTAAAATAGCACAACAATAAGCCGAACACACTCACTGTTTGGCAAAACATAAAAAAGCATTTTTGGCTCTGACTGCATGTTACAGAAGCAAGAATATAGCTGATGTCTGTTTTAATTAATTCTCTAATGAAGGAAGGATTGACAAATAGGCAGCACGCTTAGATTTTAACTTTAGGCATGGAGTTGTAAAGGTCATCCATAAGAGGTTGCTTTTACTGTGTATACATGAGAGCCCACAATGGCATAGCTCAAATATTACTTCCTTGAGAGGAATTATTCACCAGGCAATGTATTAAAAAAATTGTATTAGTGAGCCCAGATTTAAGGGGGAGAAGGATCTCTGATTGTCTTCATGGATGGAGAAAGGGATGCAAGCCTATGGGTGAAACTGGATGTTTTGTTAACTTAGCATAGATCATAACATTTCCCTGGAAGTTTAATGTTTAATAAGCCTGAATACCTGCTGTGTAGAGATGATAATTATATTCATTAAGGCTCAACAATACAAATAGATTTATTTGCTTCTGTTTCCAATGTAGCGAGAAGGTTTGATTTATGTTATTGTGCATATGCTTGATATTCAATAAAAGTCCTGAATAATAGCACTCTATAAATCCCTCGGTGCTAATCACAGAGCTGCAGTTGTAGTTCTGTTTTTTTACTGCATCAGGTTGCCATGTGGGTGATGTTTCACTGGCCCCTTTAACAGGTTCACTAAATTCTCTGCGGGCTGATCCGCTGCACTGTCTGCAGTGTAATACAATACTTAGACTGTAAGTGGTTTATAATCATTGTGAGCCTTGAGCAATAGGTGCCTGGGGAAAAACAATGTTTTGTTTATTTCTGTGCATGTGTTTAAAGCTGCTGTTTCATCCTTGCTGTCTGTCTGATTCCACCACATTCTCTAGAGTGTTGATGCTGAAGCGATTCCTGCACAATTTTTATACCGGAATGAATTATGATTTTTATTTTTATAACTTTTGAACACCTTTAGGTGTTAGCTTGGCTCCTTTGATAGCACTCTCGCCCCTGAGTCAGAAGTTTACTCCCACTTTGAACACAGAGCACAAGCTGACACTCTAATGCCTGGGTAGTGAACATTAGAAATCTCATGGCGCTATACAAAAGGAGAAGAGAATTTCCCCTGATGTCCAACAATCATCCAGATAAAATTGATCATTCACTTCATTGCTGTTTGAGGGACATTACTGTGTGCAAATTGACTGCCACAATTTCCTAACAATGCACAGTCACTATACTTCACAGTACAACCTTGTGAAGCACTTTGAGACTTCTTGTGAAGCGCTATGTTCCACATTGGATAACAACAATGGCATTGCTGAAATCTTCAATCATTGTGATGAAGGCAAGGGAAGGGGGTCCAAAGTCAGTCTTACCATTTGAGCATCACAACTGTTATGAACGAATGGGGGATGCTGTGTTTCAGTGTCACCTCATGGGATCACGTTTAACTCAGATTATTTTGAACTGGTATCCTGTGATGAAGTGACACTGAATTGTCTGCAACAATACAAGCCGCCAGCGGAACTATACGTGAGCACTGAAGTCTTCAAAACTGCCTTCCGGCTCAACCTTACAAAAGAGCAGAAGGATTTCAATGCAACACAGAATACGGCTTTTCGTGTTTAATTTAATGCTAATTTAGTGTTGAGCTCTTTAATATTCTGTAATTTATACTAAAACTGTCATTCTTCATAAATCGGAATTAATTTTTTTTACTTGAATCATTCAGTGCAGACTGGCATTCCAAAGGCACTTGCTGCAGGCTGCAGTTGCACTACGCAAACTTGGCAGAGTTGCTGCTTGCCAGCTTCACATCATAATGCCAAAATTTGGGAAGTGGTGACATTTTGAAGTTTACTGTGTGCTGGGTAACTGAGGGAGCAACCAAAAGGTTTGTGGTTTCTGTCGGCAGAATTAAAATTACGGAAGATAACCTGTGACTGCATCAACAACTATTGAAAAAAAGTAATGACTAGAATTAAGACTAGCTTCAATGGTGTGAACAAGAATATGATATAATGCAGTGTTTACTTTGAAAGTCATGAGAAACCAGGCAAGAAATTGGCTCCCTGAACAAAGCAATCAACAACAACAATAATAATTTACATTTATACAGCACTTTCCATGCTGGGAGGACGTCTTAACGTTTTCCAGGTTGGGGTCTAATTTGTAAGAAGGTCCATTTTTAAAAAATAATGATGATCATCCTTATATTTGATATAGTGCCTTTCACATCGAGAAGACATTTCATAGTGCTTCACAGGATATGCTGTAAAGTGTAGTGACTGTGTATTTTATAGACAAACTGATTATTTTTAGGACTTAGTCTTTGTAGCCAAGATTTTCAGAAATATTATTCAAGTCACATTTCAAGTTAGCTAAGTCACCTTGTTAGTATTTGCTGCTAATTTAGCTAAGTGGAGTGTAATATGTCACTAAGGTTGGTAAATGTATTGACAAGTCGACAGTATTTCCCACTCCCCTGTCTCTCCCCACAGTTCTGTTTTAAATGCACTACTCATAAGATCATGAGAGGTTCAGAATGAAACGAAACCCTTTGGGCCATTTGATTTCATCCTTTCAGACTACCCACACTGTGTCTTCCCATCGCAGCATCAAGCTGCTTTTTAAATGGAAAGTTGTTTTGTTTTTTCTTTTAAATGATACAAAACCTTTTGTATCTGGAGTTTGGCTCCAGCATGAATTCAATGGAAATGGCACCAAATGCATATAATATGTTCAATGCATACAATAGATCTACATGTTGCGGAAGTAGATGTTTGTGTCAGATGTTTCCCACTGAGTTGCCATCATCCAGTCTACATGGCACTTCCACATTTTTCTCCCCTTTCTAGCTCACTCCTGACATTTGATTCTGTGAGCGACTGAACCAAACTGCACGCAGCTGATGCAGCTCTGCTAAACCAATTGTGAACTTGAGTTATATAAGGCATGAATTATTCATCTCCCAGCCTGGAATCATGAGTGCAAATTTACTTATGCAACGCCGCAAGATTTGTTTTACTGACCTTTTGCTGAAGTTTACTTATTCTCTTCATAAAAAAAGCTCTATACTTGATGGTGAAAAGGAATGTTTTTAATGTTAGAAGACTGGCGTGATTAATTGATGCCACTGAGCAGGATGCTTTTTTCAGAAATAATTCTTCAATAAGCTTTCTCTGGCAGGAAAGACCTATTCATTAAAGCTAAACTGGAATGGGTTTCAGAGAAGATGGGAAATTAATGGGTGGTGATGTGACTTTGCAGTTCACAGATCCATCTAATTCACGGTTGAGCCAACGTTGATAAAGCCTTATCAAAACTACTTCTCTCATGCAGGTTTGACTTTGTGGAGATCGAAGACCTTAGCGATGGCACCATTATTGGACGGTGGTGTGGTACCAAGGCAGTGCCGGGAATGCAGATATCAAAGGCAAACCAGGTCAGGATACGATTCCGATCTGATGAATATCTGGCTTCAAAACCCGGCTTCTGCCTTTACTACTCCCTCCTGGAACCTGTAAGTAAATGATATATTTACCTTCTCTGAGTACTTTGTGTGTTTTTTATTAATGTAGGACATAAGCTTTTAACATTGCATGAACTGAATAGAAATAGTGCCACATGCTTCAAAAAGGAATTTCAGCACTTTGAGCAGATTATAAATGTGAATTGAGAATAAATAACAAAGGGCCTGTTATGTGGAGGTTTGCACTTAAAACCAAAAAACTTACCTCCTTTTTTAGACAAAATAATTTTGTCACATGAGTGAAATTGCAAATGTTCCAATGATACAGTGTGTCATCACAGATTACTAACTGAACTATATCAAAAACAGACATTCCTTTCTGAAATTCATAACTGATATAAAGGCAATCTAAAGAGCTTGGTTTAACTAGTGGCTATTAACATTGGGAAGTGAAGTCCCAATTGACGAAGATCAGTCTCAGATGGGAAAGAGTGTCCATTCTTGATGTTGTATAGTATATAGGAGTACATTGACGAAGTTATGCCATTTCATCTCTATTTTGAGTTGCTAATCACAGCTTTTAACAAACCTGCCTTGAACATTGTGGGAACTTAAATACCAGATGTTGTACCGGAGACACTTTCAAAGCATTGGCTTGAGTTGCATTGTTATTAGAATGGGCAGATGATTGCTTTTGGTGGAATAGGACATTCAGATTAATTGGGACCTGAATTACAATTGAGTTTCAGAGGGTTCAGAGGTTGCCAAGCCTGAAATATGAAGTCTAAATTCCAATATTTCTGCAGATAAATTATTTGACAACCAAATAGCAAGTGGAAACAGTCCAAATATTGCAAGGCATTGTAAGAATACGATCCCTTCTACCCAATTTAGGAAGATTTTCTTCATGCAATCAAACAAAGACGTTGTTGGCTACTGGATTTTTGAATCTATTTTGCATAAATATAGTAAAATAAATCATATTTGCATTTAACATTGAAACTTCTCAAAATATGTTGCAGGATTTTTATTGTGAAATCTAGTGACTGTGTATTTGTAGCAAAATACTTATTGAAAGGTTTGACCATGATTTAACTCTATGTATCTATTTCTGATTTTTTATGACATATCATGCCCCAGCAGTGAGTATGAGAACACATATATGTGTATTCATATGCGGAAAGGGTTAAGGCCTTATCAAGGTTTTAGGTTACATGTTACTGATTACAGTTTGAAGTAAAAAGCAGTGTCTTTCAAGTTAAGTAGATTAAACAGCACAATTATTAAAGACTAAACCGAGGAACAGATCAAAGTGTCCGAGTGGGTCCAGTTACTGAGAATAATGCTTCTGAAGCATTTTAAAAGAAAAAAAATGCAGGCAATTAGGAGTTGAATTCTTTCTCAATTCCACGTTGCTGATAAGGCACCAACCTCTGTTAATGAACAACATTTTGCATTAAAGCCAAGTTTATTAGGAGGTCAGAGATCTTGCGGTTCAGGACTAATGTGTTTTTTTAGAACAGAAAATTACATTTTGAGGTATTTTTATTATTTACTGCTCTTTGCTCTCCTTGAGCCATGCACCAATGCTGGCTACCAGACTAAGCTGATTGTCTGATTATGGACCTCTGTCTCTCGATATTGCTTTCACTGCTTTATACCTGGCTTCAAGGACATGTGCAAGAATGGCTTGGGTGTCCCTCCTTCTGAGTTTCTCTTGCTTTACTAGAGACGCTCATTTGGCACCTTTGCTTGATGGTCAGCTGATAACTCATTGTGTGGAGTTTTAAGATTGACTTTTCTTTAGAGATTGGAGAAAAATATAAGTTTTACATTATTTTTTGCCCCAAACAAATTGAAGGGTCAACTGGTATATGTCTGATGAGGGTATAAAAGGGTATGAGGAAAAGGCAAGGCTAGAGTAGATAGCTTCAGTGGAAATCTTCAAACAGTGTGGTCTCAATGGCATGAAAGGCCTCATTTTGTAGGTTCATAGTCTAAGCTGACACTTCAGTGCAGTGCTGGGGCAATACTACTTTGTTGGAGGTGCCACTTTTCAGATGAAATGTGAAACCATGGTCCAGTCTACCTGTCGTGCTGAAAGCTAAATATCCCATGACACTATTCAAAAAGAGAGGTGGGTTTCTATTTGGCCCTGGCCAAATATATTTTAGATAAAATTGGTCGTTCACTTCATGACTGTTGGTGGTACATTGCTGCGTGCAAATTGGCTGTGTTGATCTACAAAATATGATTGTAATATACAGACAACCTGTAAGACACATTGAAACTTTTGACATTACAGAAACTATATTAAATACAAGGAATAATGTTGTATAATTTCATTTAAGGAACGTTTACTGTGTTTTGTAATGTTTTCCTTGGGTTATTTAACACAAGGGACAACTTATCAAACCCATCCTAATAATAATAATCCTTGTATTTGATATAGCGCTTTTCACAGCGGGAGGACGTCCCAAAGCGCTTCACAGAACACACTGTAAAATGAATTGACTGTATATTTGTGGGCGAATGCGGCAGCCAATTGCGCACAGCAATGTCCCACAAACAGTCGTAGATTGAAAATTTTTATTATTGTTTTTGGTTTTTTGGAGGGATTATTATTAGGGATGTGGAGTAAGGAAACTTGCCCAATGTTTCGCCCTCTGCCTGGAATTGAACTCAGGTCTCTCACTTGCAAAGCGAGTGCTCTAACCATTGACTTCAGGACTCCTTTATGTTTATGCCAGTGATGTCTGGCTTGTCAATCACTTGCAGCTTGCCATGCTGCAAAAAAATGTGCCTATAATGTACTTCCATGTGTTAGGTTTCAGCAGCTCTGTTTTCTGTGCTGGCAGAGTTTAGCAATGCTGTATTGATCCAGAATTTAATTGGCATCAAGCTTTCAGCACAGGAATGATGTCTTGCAAGTTGGGGAAATCATTTCTATTTAGTGTAAAAATATCCAACAACACACATAAGCTGACGATACTTCACAGCATTTATATAAGTTCAACATATACTGAAGGTCCTGAGTTGCAGACAAGTTCTTATTCACCTACAGACATCAGTGTCCTTTACTTCTCTTCCAAATTTCTCTCCTCCTGACCATGTAATGCAAAATACCATGGCAACCAGAACAAGAATACAAAACACCCACTGATGTGCTGGTGATGTCTGCTGAGGGAGTTACTAACTGTCCAGCTTTGTTGCTGATCCGCCTACACAGCAAGTCCATCAATGTAACCACAACGATATACCATTAAACGGGCTCTGCTTCTGCTGCTGTCTCTTCCAGCCACAAAGTCAGATGTGTGGGCAGGGCACTTAACGTGAGCATAACGTAGACCAGGATTTTCTCAAGCACCAGTACTAATGCTTTACTGTCAATGTGGTAAACAATCTGATGTTTCATTACTCATTCTTGGGTTGAAATTCTGGTTGGCATTACGCCTAGCACCATCAGAAATGTGTCGTTATAACGGGGGAAATCACACTAGTGACTGACATGGTCACTGACAAGACACTAACTTGAAACGCTGACCAGACTGTCACTGCCTCTACCTGAAAAATCACATTTAATCTGTTATACATTGCATTTTCACCCCAATCTCTGATAAACTGAGACATTTTCAGTTCCAAAGAAGGGCAGAGACTCTGCGGAGTCCCGTAACATAGTGGTTAGAACACTCACCTCATGATTGAGAAGACCCGGGTTTGATTCCCAGATGGGACTAAACCTTAGACAAGTTTCCTTACACCACACGCCTCTGTTTACCTAGCAGTAAGTAGGTATCCAGTTGTTAGTCAATTGGCAGATCGCTTTCTGGGGGTAATAATCCTTCCCTCCCAAAAAATGTTACCATGACTATTTGTGGGACACTGCTGTTCGCAATTGCTGCCGCGTTTCGCCCACAAAATACACATTCAATCCACTTTATACTATATTCTGTGTAGCGCTTTGAGACACCTCGAAGACTTGATAAGGGGCTATATCAAATGCAAGGATTATTATTATAACTCTTGTACTGATACGTGGTCACAATTACTAGTTAAATGGAAGGAGGAATCCTTTATATTTTAAAAAGAAAGCACACTCGTACACTACAAACTTTGGAAAATAAATACATGTTAGTCCCTGTTTTAATGTATATTAGTGTTTGGAATTTTTCTTTTTGCCTCGGAGGGTTATTCTGAGTCACAGCCAGTTCAGTGGCAGTTCATCTTTGTGACTGCTGTAGGTCACTATCTCCCAGGGAGATCGATAGCCAAGAGCATGTGATAAAGTAATTCAGGTGGTGACCTTTGACACATTCATATCAAACTTTGAGTTCCTAATTAATTTGTTACACACATATATACATTCAAGGACACCTACCAGCCTTCAATTAAGCTTTTATACTGCACAAAGACTGAGTGCTTTAAACGTTACACAATCATTTGAATGTCAAGTAGCTCTTTAATGTCAGAACCGCTGGTGCTGTGCAGTTTGATGCATTTATAGAGAGGATGGACTGTAATAGTTAAGCAATTGTACATTTACCGGTTTGTATGTGGGCAGATGCTTGTACATCACAAATGGTGACTTTGAGCACACTCATAGATGTGGAGAAATCTCTTTAAGAGACAACACCACTCAATTAAGAACTAAGGTGGACTGGTTAGAACAGTATAAAAGGATACTGTGAAAGGGGCACAGGGGATGGTTATTCAAGTGCATTGGGTTGTGTTCAAGACTCATAGAAACATAGAAACAGGAGTAGGTCATTCAGCCCCTCGATCCTGTTTCGCCATTTTAGAAGACTATCGCTGATTTGAATCTCAAGTTGAATTACCCGCCCTTACCCTGTATCCCTTAAATAATAATAATATAATAATAATAATCCTTGCATTTGATATAGCGCTTTTCACGTCGGGAGGACGTCCCAAAGCGCTTCACAGAACACACTGTAAAGTGAATTGACTGTATATTTGTGGGCGAACGCGGCAGCCAATTGCGCACAGCAATGTCCCACAAACAGTTGTAGATCGAAAATGACTAATTTATTATT